GTATGATATAATCACTTATTATATTGATTCCATTCACATATGATATAATCACCTATTATATTGATTCCATTCGCGTATGATATAATCACCTATTATATTGATTCCATTCACATATGATTTAATTACGTATTATATTGATTCCATTCACGTGATATAATTACCTATTATATTGATTCCATTCACGTGATATAATCACCTATTATATTGATTCCATTCACATATGATATAATCACCTATTATATTGATTCAATTCACGTACGATATAATCACCTAAGATATTAATTCCATTCAAATAAGATATAATCACTTATTATATTGATTCCACAGACTGCCTTATCTTTCTAATATTGCCTCATATTCATATTATATTAGATATTGTTTATACATCTCTGTTGCTGTGTTAACAAGCCTCTAATTTTGAACTTTTTGGAAGTTGATGCACACATTTCCGGGTGACCACTGGATGTTATACACTTTTGCAAATACTTGAAAATTGAAATTGAAACAAGAGGTTGAGAATTGTTGATGTGATGTGCCTTCATCATATGTACAAAACTAAGAGCAGATTTGACAACATTTAGATCACTTAAAATTAATTTATTTGACTCAAGTGATGTCAAATTCTCTGTTGCTGTGATTGGTGGGATGCTTTGTCAATGCTATTTTTAGTTTTGAGATATTGATTTATAGATTAACTGTAAAACACATTCATGAGTAACCTGAAATAAGTGCACTTGTTTCAACTTTAATAATTTTTGTTTCACAAATCATACATTTCTTACTTATCCTTACAAGAAATACACAAGAAATTTTCTAACTAATTTTCTAATTTGTATAAGTTTTAGTTTCTTATAAAAAAAATTATTACAAGAATGTCCAGCAAATCTTATTAACTATTATATTCCTTACAAGAAACCCAAGAAAGTTGGACTGAAAAATAATATCATTTAGTGTATGGAAATCAATTTTTCTTATGATATGCAGTACACTGATTGCTCCATACACATTTCTGATACTTGCATTGTGCATACAGACCTTGCAACTCCAACTGGTGTTGTCATTGTATCTACAGTATAAAACATTCATCAACCACCTTTGACCTTGGCATTATCACTCTTGCAATTGCTTTGTTTTCATTGCCATTCAGTCATTTATTCAAAGCTACCAAATAAGGAATAAAGCAGTTGTTGTTTCCCACATAGTGAATGACTACGTGTGTATATTATACCCACCCCTGTCGGTCATTGCCATTGAAATCAGTGTCTTAACATACTGACTTGCGGTTCTTTCAGTAAACAATAATATACAGTAAGATTCAATTGCTTTGAATGTGTGCCTAAGGTAAAATATTTGCACATTGTAGCACGTGCTAGTATTGCTAATTGTTAAAAGTAAATACACAGTGGCCCACAAGGATAACTCAACTAAGCTTACAATGTGCCATTTTAATGTACATTGAATTTCAAGGTAGACCTTTCAGGATATTATACTTGCTATATTTGTTTTTAAATTTAACATTACAATTTAGGTTGCAAAACTTTCAGCCAATAATAACTTTCCATTATCTGAGAAAACCTTGTGAAATTAAGACACTATGTAGTCATGGATTTATTTGGCATGGAAGACCTACAATAGTTCTGCGACATTCCATTTTGTATTTATTTCTGCACGACACCAGAAATGAAAGATTTATACTACAGAATAAAACATGTTTTGATGGGTCGGGGGATTCAGTACTGCTGAAAATAGTATTTTATTCATTTTTCCTGCCGGGTACATCTGTGCATCCTTTGTAAATTGATACAAATAATTTCAAAGACATCAAAGCCGAGATTTACGCTTTGAAAACAATTATTTTGTAATTTCTTAAATCCTATTGTCAATCATTACAAAGTATACTAAATCTACATATGATGATAGCAAGCAATCACAATAAGAACATAATTATGTTTTGGACTTATTTGCATATTCGTAGTGGGAATACCATTGTAGAGATGCAATAGAAATAAATTTCGAAACTCATGGGGGAGCATGCTTTTTTCTTTTGCTTTTTCTAAAAGTTTTTCAGAATTGTGGCAGAAACTAGAAAAAAAGTAGTGAGCAGCACTGACTGGAATTCAAATCATTTATTTTGTTTGCTTAACGTAATAATAAAATGTTTTTATGTGATACACTAACACAGGTAGTCAATAAATCAAGTTTATATTACCCGCAGAAAAATTATTAAATGCAACTGTAACTATATAATAACTTTTGTACATGACACCTTTGACCTCAACTAATTCTACAATAATTACGGTATAAATATCTGATTTTAATTTCATTTTATTACAAAACATTTAATTTGATTTATAACCACATTTTTGTCAACAAGGACATAGATCGACATTTCACTCCTAGACTCCACACAGTATTTCACCTTGAACAGCATCATGTGTCTTTGTCATTGACCATGGTCATACAGAATTTCACTTCAAAGAGACATCAATAAAATGGTTGATTTCACATTAAGAGAGCATATCACAGTACATTGTGAAAAGCTGACCTCATTTCCTTTGCTAAACTTCAAGCAATATTACTTTTAATGAGCGTACTGTGCTACAAAGGAAACCAATTGAGTTATATGCACTTCATTTCATAGAGGTATGAATGTATTTTTATTGAAATTGAAAACAATGTGACCAATCACAATGACTTAGAATTGCAAACTGTTCATAGAATATACCAGCCGTGTAGAATATACCAATCCTATATATCACCTATTTGGAATATACCACCATTATAGAATATACCACCAGTTTTCAATATACAAACCATTTTAAATATACCACCTGTTTAGAATATACCACACGTTTAGAATATATCAACCATACATGTATTCAATAGACCACCCATATGGAATAGACCACTTATATGAAATATACTACGTGTATAGAATATATCACCTGTATTAATTATACCACTTGTATTGACTATACTGCTCACATTGAATATATCACCCATATGGAATATACAAACTGAATTTCAGGTGTATTCTGGGTAATCTTTTATAAATTTCTGTGTTTCAATTTGTTGTGCTTTTAGTTTTATCTGTAGCATGTCTTCTTGGTTTTGTAATCACAATAATGGTAGGCTGGTATTCATGACCTAGGGATTTCATGCAATGGTTACAAACAACTTTAACAGCAATGCCTTGAGAGAATCATTTTTAAAAATCATGATATATTCCTTAATATTTATAATTAGAAGGCATTGGTGAATTCTCATAACTTAATGCACTCTCTGGGTGGCAAGTATGATTACAAGTTTTGATCTGATCACAATGTGCATTATACACCTTAGAGTCCTTAGATTTAGTCAAACCATCACAGGAATTACCCTAAAACACTTTTGTATGCATGTAAATACCATCTTTGGAAACTGTCAAACGTTTGACATATGCTGGCATCACATGTCACTACAATGGTCATGTGAGCACAGTTTTGCTTTCGTGTCATTCATAAACTGATCATATGGCCAGGATTTGTCTCTGCTAAGTACAATCATCTTATATTATAGCATTTTACTATATCTTGGTATTTCAATTATCGTCCTGGAAACATAATTCAGTTTGTATATCCCCTATGCATTGCAGCATCAAGGTGAAAGTGGATACAAAGTTCTAATTGTTACGAGGTAGTTTGCATTCTTCAATTTTCAAACTCAAAAACTTTCACACTGGGAGAAAGCTGAGAAGTAAACAAAATACAGTGCATAGCATGTTGTAGTCAGGCACACATAAAGAATAAACCGTTTAGATGACAGGATAACAATATATTTACTTATTTAATCATTGAATTGTTTGTGTACATGGTATGATTATGTCAATGACATAACAATTCATACATTAATTCAAATGGGTTATGAAGTATGACCATTGTCTCACCAATATACCAAGCTACTGAAATTAAATAATTGAAAAAATTGAACAAAAAAGTTGAAACCAATTAAAGACACTGATTAAATTTGACTATTATATGTTAAACATGACAAACAAAGTAATTTCATACTAATGAGGGCGCAAGTCATATTTCAATCAGTGGTAACAAGCCATTTATTTAAGTTATGATTTGATTATTCATGAGTAAAAATAATGAAGTAATATTCAAGTTGTTTTTGATCATTGTCTATTACAGTAGTTCTTGTCAATATGGGTTTTGGACCAGAGAAGTGGGCTGAGTTTGGTACAGCAAGGATTTATGAGATATTGACAACAGTATGGGTTGAATTGAGTGTAGAAAAGATTTCTGATCAAAGATATTGACTGCACCTACCAGACTTATTAATAATAATCACCATCTTTGAATAGCTTGATTGGAAAGTATGTTGTAATCACAGTTCTACCATTAAAGTATTTTCCCATCATGCAATGCTGTGCTTCTTCACAGCTGGTAGAATCATCAAATTCAATATACACCTAGAATGATATACAGATAAGTTTCTCATTGTAACATGATTCTCCTAATAACTATTGACCTTTTCACCACCAGTTCCCTCTATTCATCACAAAATAGTTCCGTTTTGCCCTTTTCATTTCTGAAGATTGGGACAAAAAGTAAAAACTGAAATTGGCTCAAATTTCATCAGTTGGCTCCAAAATTAGGGTTCATTTCCAGAAATATTAGAAAAAAAAAAAAATGGAAAGTGAGAAAGTCTGGTGGTGAAACGGTTAAACTAGGTACTTTGTTTCTTAACCATTTCTAAGTTAATCCAATAATTGTATCTTCAGTAAGTGAACCAATCTTGAATTCAGTTTAATCATATATTGGATACATTACAATATATACCTTATCAATTCCTTGTCCATATCGTGGTATCACTAATTTATTAACATGCCCATATTTCTCACATTCTTCTTTAATATCATCAACAATATCTGTGAATCATATCAAAGGTGAGAAAAAAAAGTGATAAGGAACTCCCAATGCTGTATGTGAAAATTCAAGACAAGATGATGTAATCCACAGTCAGCTGGCGCACAAATGATAATAAAATAAATGCGATATTTACCAAAAATTGTCATTCCAGCTCAGCTTGTTATCACGTGTGTGCCAGCTGACTGTGACTGTGACTCTAGGCACTTGGTCTATGGTGGTTTGTGGAAACTGTTATTGGTTGTCTGATGCGTTTCTACATTTGTATCGCATTTCAATATAATAAATATTGTTCTTTCCTTTATTTTTGTGCCAAATAAAATGTCTGATTATCCATCTGCCCACTTGACCTTTACACCTCCAGTTACCTCTTTTTCATCACAAATACACAAAATAGTCCTGTTTATAATCTTTCCTTCAAAAAATTTGGTAAAAAATAGCCAAATTTCATTTACAGAAATATTGAAAAATATAAGAAAAAAGTACAGAAAAATTTGTGTGAGAAAGTCTGGTGGTGAAAAGGTTAACCATGTGCCTGCAATGGTAGCATGACCATAAAAAGTGACTTCATGTACCTTTGTAAATATGTATATATAATATAATATCTGAGGGCAGGTGTCAAATACATAAAACAATCTGATAATTGGTCATTCATTGATTATTTAACAAAAAAAATAATAAACCAGTTGGTAGGCAAAGATGATCCAACAATTTAATGGGTTGGCATTTAGAAATAAAACAAAATTCAAAAATTGGGTAAATATGTATGTGTGATACTGCAGAAATTTGATGCCTACAGTACTGACTTTATTTGTTTTGTGACCATTGCCAGGCAACCAGTGGTAACGCAGCAGCCATGTTGTGTTTGGCACAACTACATCACTACAGGTCAAAATCCATTAATGCTGAAGAGGAGATTAAAATGGCTGAGACAGACAAATAAACAAACAAACAAGGCATGAATAAGAACTAATCTACCGGTAGTTCACATTTGGACCTAGAAATGAACAAAAACAATCAGTGAAACCATAAACTGTTCAGATATTGAGGAAAAAGAGTGCAGTCGTACCTTGATACTCATCATCTAAGTCTTTTTGTTCCACTGTATTGAGTAATCGCAATATTCGTGTCGGAAATAATAACATGTCTTTATAACTGGCTTGTAGATGATGTTGAAAAAATGGATGATGCAGGGCATCAGTTGCAGTAATTCTGTGGTCACTATGACAACACAACATTCTATAGCAATGGAATAATGTTAATGCGTAAGTAGTGCGCCACCAGAACATATCACATTAAACTATAGGAGTAGCACTACACTGTATGATATCAAACATAGATCACATTTATACAAATGTGAAAAGCTTAAGCCATAACTTTCACTTTGTATTTTTTGACCAACAAATTTGGCATTAGAATTTTTGTCTACACGTGGTGCAGATGGTGGACATTTTGGTTCATGTTTTATAACATACCAATCAAGTTAGAATGGTAAACAGAGCGTATTTTTTCATCTATTATATATTTTATTTTATATAATTACATCAAATTCACATATTAGTGTTATGTATGACAGTGACAGCCTGTGAAACATAGTCGACATAAATATTTGTTACTTTGCAACGTTGGCATAACAAATTGTGGAAAACTGGGTGAAAAAATGCTTTGCCGTTTTTTTGGGTTTGGCAAACAATCTAAACACACTCTACATGCATGGTTACTAGAAGAATTTTGAAGTAACCGTGCTACATGTCACCATTTCCAACATTTTGTTTTTTAGCTTACTGCGCAATGTTAACACATTGTCTGATTGGCCGCCTTTCCAACAGGCGCATCAAACTTGGCCATTTGTTTAACATAAAATACGTGTTTACCCAGGCTGATCCCGCAAGGGTTGGTGGAGTCGGCAGTGAGTCAGCACCAACTAACCATTTGATTTGAATGATGAATAACTACTTAATATGCACGAAAATAACCCCAAAACTAATCAAACTAAATTTCATAAAAATTTGCTCAGTTGATTTAAGATTTTGCTTTTTTAGTTTCCACATACAGACATACCTCCCCCTTTGGCAGCATATGATGTTAAACTATGTTATACACCTTTTCGATCTGTTCTGTATTATGTCATACTATAAATTTATGCATGTGATAAACTGTGATATTACCTTTGCACTAGATCTCTGAAATCTGACATGATTGCATTTTGATTTGGGATGTCATCATCATGTTGTCTTGGTTTAATTACAGAGTCAACTAACACTTCATACTCACATCTTAGAGTGGAATCACAAACCTAAATTATCATAAAAAGCATTAGAAACATACATATTCTATGTGTATTAGATCAAATTTCAAAACATGAATAATAGTAAATAAACCTACAAATGTCCAATGTCTCTTGAAATTGGTCTTAAATTCACAAAATAATTGGTCTTAACTCATCACCTGCTAAAACCACTTTTTGCCATTCATTTTGACAGGAATCCATGAGGGGTTTCAGCTTTGTTAAAGGGCAGTGATTGTTAATTGTACATGCACGAGTTATGGGTCCAATATAAACAAAGATTTTGACTGAGACAATGCGAAGCTTTAATAAGATAATTTTTTAGGTGATTGCATGTAAGGAATCAAATGAGTCACTGGCAAGTAATTAGTGCAAGATATAGTAATTAGTGCAAGATATAGTAATTAGTGCGGCCAGGTCAAAACTAGTATCTGTGATTTCCATTAGAGAAGCAATTGTGGATTGTGGGAAAATCAATGTTTACCAATACAAATGTTTCACATGAGCGATGAGACAACCATCACCCTTTAAGACCAATTATTTTGTGAATTTAAGACAAGTTTTAGTTACATTAGACATTTGGCTTGCCAACTATCATGGTATCAGGTCTGGGATTTTTTTTTTTAATGCAGGCGTTTTTAAGAGAGAGTACACCTTTGTTACCATTGGTAACACTCTAAATTTGTTAGAACTGATTATAATCTAATGACTGTTCTAGGTTTGGTAAGAAGGTGCAAGCTCAGGTGTGAGGGCGGTCTGATAGAACTCCTGAACCAGGGGTTTTTCTAGAAAAAACTGCAAGAGGGAGCACTGTATTTCAGAGGCGCCACCAAGTGGGGGAGACCCCTACCAGGGTGTGCAGTTTTTGATAATTCTAAATTAAAATAGAGCATTCTATTGCTTCCTTGGGGCCAAAATTACTATCAGACAGGTCACAGTTGAAGACTGTGGCCACATGTGATCCCTGGTCAATCAGACTTTTATGGTTGCCAGAGGATCTGCTCCCCAGGGTAAGGGGCGCATGGCTATGGCATGAGGGCGCTGCACCCCTGGTTCCCTTGTTTAAAAAATCCCTGCAGATATTATTCATATTCATCACTCATTGAGATTGTTTTCTAATGGAACCCATTGATTCATTTTGATCTATTATTTAATACAAACCTGACATTTGTCACATCCATTCTCAGGTACATCATCTTTACCAAATAATTTATGTGCTGTATACATATATACCAAGACACACCCAATGGTCCATATATCTGCAGCTGGACCACATATAGGACCACCAACGAATACTTCAGGATTTTTACATATAAAAGTGTTCCATCGTTTGGCTTCAGGACATTGATAACAAAGGCTTTGAATTTGATGACAATATTCCTGTAAAGAAAAATGAGGAAAGAAAATTAAATAATTACTTCATTGACTTTTTGAAATTTGATCCGATTGGCAGACTCAAAAGGACAAAAAGGGGGAAGGATGTCAAGAAAATATCCTTGAAGCAAAAAACAAGTAGTTATGCCTATGATTATTGTTATCTCTTGTCTTTGTACCAAATTTAGTGAGTCGAAAAAATGGATGACATGACAGTTTCATTTGTTCAAATTTATAACAAATGCATGTCAACATGTGTGATAGGATGTATAATGTTGGTGAAAAGTTTGATTTCTATATATCAAGGTAAGTCAGAGAAATGGCTCTGGAAAAATATTTGTCAATACAAAATGTCCAGCAGACGTTCATGTACCGGGGTATGTAGAGTTCTGGAAGTTGAGTGTAACAAATGATAATAGAAAACTGAGAACGTATATAAAGTTTAAAGACTCATACACTTTTGAACCATATTTGCTCTTATGTAATCTGAAACATAAAACCATAATGACTCATTTCGGAATAAGCAGTCATGTAATAAAATAGAGAAAGGTAGGCATACCCAACCCAAAACACCTTTAGAAGACAGAATCTGTAAGCAATGTTCCCAGACAGAAAGACAAAAGTTATTTAATAACATCAATATTCCAGAAGAATTAAAAAGTGATGTTCCAATACTCATAAAAACATTATGACTTCAAGAGAAGACGTACTAATAAGACAAGTTGGTGAATACTTATACAAAATATTTGAAATCAGAAATAACAATAACTGACATTTTACTTTTACTTTAGTTTTATATGTATTGTACTTTATTACTAACATGTCACCATGGAAACTATTTATAAGGATGCAATGAATTCATTATTAATATACAGTTGTATTGTATTTAGAAATAGATCAGAAAAAAGAAAATGATGTTCATCAAGGTTCAATTATGTTCAATGTATGTAAATGATAGCTATGTATGGCCAAGTTTTGGGTCAGGAGAGATGTTTGATCTGATTTTGATGAAGGAATTTTTAACATTAAAATGGCAACTTTTCAGCCATTTTGAATCATATTGTCAAACAAATTACGTGCATATTTGTGTTATGATACATATATAAAGTTTGAACATAAACAGTCACGGCATATCAGACATATGGCTCCAGAAAAGAATTCCTTAAAAACAAAATGGCCACCAGTTGGCCATTTTTAATCAATGTCAAATGTATGTACCACAATATAATCCATTCATATATGACTGAGATTTATATCTTGAATGACAGTAATACTTGATGAATTTTTAGCAAATGGATGTGTATACATGTATGTATCATGAAATGCATGTGTGAAGTTTGAATGTGATTGGCCAATCATGTATAAGATACAGGTGAACGAATACTTAGAGGTCACTCCATAAATCTATGTTTTTTGACTGCACCTGAATAGGCACTAACAATGGCTATCTTTCTGAATTAAAATGAAACAAATTGTAAATTAAAATGAGTTGGAATGACATCAGATCAGGTATGAAACAATTGATGGCATCTTGACATTCTGGTGATTTTTTTCCTCAAACTTCCATGACAATATACAAACACTGAAACTTACAGGGTTAGGGTTAGGGTTCATAGACATTCAGTTCAGGTGTGTGCAAATATGTAATACGCAATACACTTAAAGCAATTGGTGAACAATACAAAAAACAAAGATAAACCACAGTCCCTCTAGAGGATAGAGGGACTGTGGATAAACAGTACAAATACTATTCTCATGAGGAATAAGTCATTCTTACCTGATTTCCTTGTTGCATACAGAGACCAAAGTCTATGACTTTAATACATCCATCCTGTACAGACCAAAGTAGATTATCAGGTTTAATATCAGCATGTATTAATCCTTTACTGTGAATATAATCCACAGATTGGAGTAAATCCTTGGCTAAAGATTGGATGACATACAGGGATAAGCTGTCATCATTGTTCTTATAGATTATCTGTCTTAATCCAAAATGTAGCAACTCAAATACCAGACATGGATGGCCTTTGTGTATAAAATGACTGTAGAGTTTAACTGTGAAAACAAACAAAATATGCACTCAGACAGTACAACGTTGCATCAACCTCCACTGCGCATACTCTATACTTTGATGTATTCTCATAATAACTTCATAATATTAAACATTTCATATATTTATATAGGGAATTATTTAATATGAAATCAGAATAACCAAGCCTTAGAACCTTCACTGTACAATACAGTGTATTTTTTTAACAACATCATAATATTATTATTACATACTGTACCTATACTGGTAATTTTAGCATCCTTGTGTAATAAGCGTAAAATATTCAGTTCTCTGTAGTACACTGGAAGATATTTCTCTTCTTTCTTGTAAACCTTGACGGCACCAATACAGTCATGTGACTTCACTTCATACACTATACAACATGTTCCTTTACCCAGTGTCCTTACAATACACCAGACATTGTTTAGAATATCCCCGATGGCAAAATCACCAAATTCTTTAGTAGACATACCAGAATTATTTTTCTCTCCCTAATACACAAACATAACACATGGAAAACACATGAACAAGATTGGTTTACGTACAAATGGAAATGTTAATAGAATCCTGAATTTCAATGGATTTGTTATTGCACATTGTCACTTATGGTCAAGAAAGTTGCATACCTTAAGTTTTCCTTCATTTACTTTCACTTTGATCCATAATTACTCATAGTAACATAATTACTGTAATTCATTGAGTTTTCAATATTTTCATTTTATTGTCATTATCACCACTGTACCTGCAACACAGCAATAAGATTTTTTTGTCAGGATCATATTGCTGTAAGTAACAATATTTGCTGTACTGTACTGTATCGGTTAGTACCTAGTGTAAGAAATAGA